TTTTAAACTTAAGCACATTGGGCAGTCGTTGGGTTCTTATAGGGAGGCCTTCCACCAGGCTTAGCCGGTTTTCTCAGGTAAAGGATTTTGTGAGCAGAGCAGAGTTGGAGATATTTTATTAAAAGCATGGAAAATTGCTTTGTTAACTATCCTTGCTTTAATTTTAATAGCATTACTTGTAGCAGTAGATTTTATTTAGGAGTATCAGATTTTTTTAAGGGGCTCAGTACTGTATATTATATGCAATTATGCATTAATTTTTCAACATTTAATCCTAAACAAAATCTTTTAGAATTTTGGTTTGTATCCTGACAAAATGTAATAAAGTTCTGAAGAATAACTACATGTATAAGGCACCATATAACTACTTTGTTTATGTGACAGAGTTGTATACAAACAGGTGAAGAAATCCTCCATCTACCTAGCAAGTGTACTCTGTTCAAAAATATCTAACTGTTACAGAAGAATGTGCTAACCTACATTTAGTTTGTCAGTGTCTTGTTAGTCTCGGTGGCAGGAGAGGCTCCGCTTTAGATTACAGAGCTGTTTACATTTACCCACAGGGTTGTATGATTGTGGGCAAACCCCCAAAAAGCTGCCTTTCTATCAGCATGCAAAATTTAGCAGGTCCCAGAGAGAAACAAGCTCCAGCTGATGATTGCTGCAACACCAAATCAAAGCAACAAAACAGCAGTTTTTGAGAGCTGACCCCCAAAGGCTTGTAAAGATATAACCTTTTCTGGTCAGAGCAGAAGAAAAACACGCCTTGGTAGATGAGAACTGTAATTTAGCCCGCTGCAATCCCTGCAAATTTAGATTTAATTCTATCCTTCCATGTGAAAATGTGCCAGGGTAGTAAAAACCACGCGATAATTGAAACCCTTTCACTTGCGCTCTTGAGATTGTATTTGTCACAGCTGGTATCAACCAGTAGGGCAACTCACCCACATTGGACAAGCCACCCTTCTGCACGATCTTATCTACAGCTGCCTTCACATCCCTGGAGCTGGAGTAGGTCCTCAGACTGAACTCTGTCACAGGTTCATCACTTCAAACAAAATAACAAAAAGTCACTTTATTTATTTTTGTAGCCTAAAATGTGAAGAAAAAACCAGACAAAGAGCAGCAGGGTTACCCGTATTGGATGATGCCCATCATGGGTCCAGCCATGCCCACGTTGATGACCTGAGCCACCTCCGCCAGAAAATCTTTCTGAATCTTAAAACGGCGCTTCCCGATGCTCCAGCTGCCATCCATCAGGAACGCAAGATCGACCTTACAGTCTGGAAAAAAGTAACACACCATGCAGTTAAATTGTGGTGGATAGGCATTACTTTTTTTAATTTCTTTTTATATAAGACTTTAAAACAAACAAAAAAAAACTTTATAAAGAGTTTAAAGATAAAGAGAACTATTTAACTTTGTGCCTCTTGCATTTGTTTGATGGCAAGTCTTGAAATGTAGTTATCTTTTTTTTTTCTTACTGGCATAATTCAGATTCGCTAACCAATAAGGAAAGCTGTTCTGCTCCAAATCCAGTAAAACAATCCAAACCATAATGCGACCTCTCGTCTATCCACAAGACATTTTTCAGACAAACTTCCGTTTGACTTTAAAAAGACGAAGGACAGTATTATTCTTTATTAGGGCATTGGTTTGGACCTTGCAGAAGCTCCAAATAGATCACTGGTATTTCAAGTTTGTCAGCTGGCAGACTCGCAGTTGGAGATTTTCAAAGAGAGTTTTTGGACTACGAAACTCCCTAATTTTAAAGTTTGTTTCTGAACTTCCTTCCTTTTTCACAAAATCCTTTTGACTGCGGTTATGCAGAGAGGAAATGATCCACAGATTACTTCTGCAGTGAACTATCATCCACAGAAGCTCAGCTGATAATAAAGCTTTAGGATAAATCAAAAGGACACGATGATAACATTAAGTAATGAACATTATTGGCACAATTATTTATAGAAAACATACAAAAATAGGGCACATTTTAAACAACACATATTCTATTGAAATCAGATTGTTAAATACAGTTTGAAAAGACAAAAAAAAAATAGATTAAAACTACTGGTTTTGCTCAGTGCATAAAAACTATGTGCTTATCGTTTGCAAACAAACGTAGATGAGTAAATATAAGAAAACCTCATATTTAAAGTAATTTAACAAGTTCTTCAATTACATCTAGAACTGTGCTTAAATACAAAATAGTCCAGCATCATGAACAAGATCAAAACACATTGTGATAGAAACAATATTCCTACATGGCGTTAAATTTAATAGTGGAAAGCAGCGCAATAGGAAGCAGCATTATTCTGAACACAGCTCTACATCTGCAAAACTTGAACTGTTTTTGAAAAACAGATGATTTCCATGTATGTCTGCCTCACAGAAGAAGACGCTGTGGTAAGGTTTGCAAATAAAAACTGGCATGTTTTTAACCTTATACTTGCTAAAATTTCTCACCTAAGCTAAGAAGCTTAACTCTGGGCATGGATTAAAGAGGTGAAAAGGGTTTAGTGCAGGAAAACCTACTAAATATTCAATTAATCTCAGGTGTGTAAACTTAAAAGTCCAGTATGGCCTCCTATAACTGAAGCTGGATGCATGCTTGAATGCTTGTCATAGATCTGAAGGAAAAAAAATACTAATTTGCAAATTTAAAGATGCAATTAGATTCACTAAGAAGAACATACTTGGGTCTCCCTGTGATGCAGGGAGTTCAGGTGCTCTGGGTGGTGGCTCTTGCTCTCTCATGCTAAAACCTAAAAGACAAGAAAAAAAAACTGTGTTTACGGTTTGAAATACAACAGAATATTTAATCTCCTCCTTTTTATCTTGATTTTCTTCATGTGGGATAAAAGAATGGAAAACAACCAGTTTAACCTTTAATCATCCAGGAAAATGGAGTGCGTTTTTTGCCACGAAAATAAAACACTACTCAGCAACAACAAAGACAGCTCCAACGCCTACTTTTACAAAATTACAATGAAGGTTTGTAGGCGTCCTCCTTTGAGTGATCCCAAATGTTTCCAGTCACAAACATCATGCCTTTAGACACTGTGCCATCTGACTTTCGCTGCAACACCCCTTCAATTATGGACCCAGCCAAAACCCAGAGTCTTTTCCTTGGATAGCTTTGGTTTGGATCGCACTTACTGACAGGGCTGAGCGTTTACAGCCAATGTGTCCAAATGAGAAGCAGTGCAACCGAACATACCTGATTCATAGGGGGTCGCTCCTGGTCTCCAGGCATTTGGTGGCTCCACTGCACGGATGACATTTTATAAACTAAATGTTAGCACACTGCTGCCACGAGGTAGCAAGAAAGACTTCATAAAACATGCCGGAGTCATTGTGTTTTGGTCAGAAGCATTTAGCTACAGAGCTGTGAAAAGTTTCACCCTTACAAGTTTCTTTATTCTGCTTTTAAGGTCCAATTTAAAGATTTCAGATCATCGATCACTTTTAATATCATACAGTTAAATGTTAGTAAATAAAATATTTATTCATTTATCAAAGGCAAAAAACCGCCTACAAAAACAACCAACCTAACCCTCTGTTTAAAGGTTATGGCAATTCTTGTGAAATTAATAAATATTTAGGATTTTACAGATATATTAACAGGAATAAGAAACAACCACTGGCATCTTCAGGACTCCAGCAAACTACAACGAGAGCCACTATAGGCAGTTGGGGAAAAAAAAAACATAAGACGGCATTAATCATTTTTTTTGGATTCAAATCAAGTTTCCTAAGAAAAAGAGCCAGAATTGACATTGGCATATTTTAAGAAGATTAATGATTTGTTAAACTTCAAGGAGACCTTGAAGAGTCTTTTTTTAATTATGGAAAAACAAACGCCAGTTAGTTTACTGCGTGGAGACACAGGAAAAATGTAAACCAGTCTCTAGAATTAGATCCAACCTGGTAAATGGATGACTAAAATGCAAGTGATGGTTAATTACAGTTGGTTTAAAAAAGTGTCTTAAAATGCAACTTAAGAACCATCGCAGTGGTTCTGTTAAGTTGAGTGGAGGTTTTGGAGGACCCAAATGCAGAGACAGAAGCTGGAACAGTAACTTGCAGATTTAAGCTTTCAAAGGGGTGGCAACTGAGGCAAAGATCCAAAATTAACATAATACGGAAAACCAAAAACTAGAAGACATTAGGGAAAACACACACGATGATCTAGAAACGATGAGGAAACAGCACTGAGGAACTGCACAGGGAGAGTATAAATGGAAGACAGAACAAAGACTGGGCTAATGAGCTGAACAGGAGCAGGTGTGGATGGATGAATCTAGAAGGGAGCTAGGAGAAGCCTGACACAAGGGGGCAACAGAGGGTCAACAAAAAATACATAAGAAGTCAGAAAATATAACCAAAAAACAACTAGAATAACATAAAATGGAAATGAAACCAATGAAAACTCAAAGCCAGGACAGGTTCCTGTTAGCAGGTCTGCTAGTCGCTGTCTATACTTCAGCTGAAGGAAAAAAAGAAGCTTTCTGTGGCAATTTTTGACTTTATAAGAAGAAAATTACGTATTGGTTCGTTTATGGCCACCACTGCTTCCCACTACATGAACATTATAGTTATTCTGACTTTTACTCAGAATAGGGAGAAAAAAAAATCTGCATGGGACGAATATTTATGCCTTCCCGAGTCGCTTTTACACTCTTGCTTAAAATAATTCTGCACCATAAAAAAAAAAAAGTTGAAATGAAAGTGTATTCTGCATTAACTCAGGTCATCTTTTTCTTCTATTAGCATAAGTTTAATGATCTGAAATATTTAACTCTAACCAAAAAAAGTGAAACCTGTAAAGGGTTAATCACTTTTTCACACATCTTACAGTGAAAACCTTAAATGCTGCATGACCATCCTTCCTGCGAGTTCACTGTGGTTTCTCACCTTTAGCTTCCGGCAAATCCAGGGGCATTTTATGGCTGCCGTCTAAATCAGAGGACCGAGGCGCTAAAAATAAAGACATTATCAAATAAGAACAAACTAGGACCAAAGAAAACACAAACACCGTAGTGGGGAGCTAGCACCCCACTCTCTTTAAATGTTTATTTTGGCAGGATATGATTGTATTTTTATGAAAGCAGCTTGAAATGCTTTCCAGACCTCAAAAAGAAAATAAAAATGATATATGACATTTTGGGCTTCCTGCTGCCCTTTTGTCTTGTCAGCTCGCCATATAGCAAGTCAGTTATATTGTTGAATGTGAAGGCATGCCAGTAAAACAAATAAAATGTGGTTTCCTTTACTGAGCAGTTTAGGTATTTTGAGTTTTACTTTCATGTGCATTCAGACGGAAATTAACCCGACTGTAATATCTATGTATTGTGCAGCAACTAGGAAAGAAACAGAGAAACAGGCAACCTGGCTCTGTTTATACTTTGAATTAAAAATAAAGGCGAGATTAAAAATAATCCAAATACCAAAAGCTGGTTCTGAATAAAAGAAAACAAAAACCTTTTTTTTCCTTTTACAATGCTTACCAAAGTATTCATGCCACTTGAACCTTTCCACATTTTATTTACATCATAACCAGACTTTAGTGAAAATCACTGGGATTTTAAAACATGAGGTTCAGTTATTAGGGTTAAAAAATGAGATATGATTTTTCTGAAATATGTTTTCATTACAAAAACAAATAAATCATACTCATGTATTTTGATATTACAAAACAACACCACAAAAGCTGCATTTATGCTGATATTAAATGACAGACAAGTGGTCTATATATGTGTGAAGGCTGGATTACACTTGACTTTACTCAAGAGCATCTGAATACAAATGCACATTAAGTTAAAGGTTTGCAGAACCACCTGTCAATGTCTTCCGGCTACAGGTCTCATTGCTTTAACAGCTTAATGTGGAGAATTAACTCCTTGCTAACTTTTCTTAGCAGAATTGCTGTTAGTCAGACTGGGGAGTAGAAATTTCAATGCTGAACTCTGTATTGAAGTTTGTATTTTGACTGGGCCGTTTTAAGAGATGAAACTGCTTCAACTTTTAAGGTATAGTGGAGGATGTTTTTTTTCCGGGTGGATCATCAAATTAAGTGGTCCTCCTAATAGTCAATCATTCTGGTGATATGTTTATGTAAGGCCGTCCTTAGTGCTCGTAGTTACTTTCCAAAAGAAAGTACGCTTGTATGAGCGATGCAAACAGCAACTTTTACACTGAGCGTGCACGAGGGCTTGTGCATGCTCTTGCACGTGTTTAATAGGTGTTCCCTCTTGGGAGGGGTTACAGGGTTGTTCTTTTGCTTTTTTTTTTATTGTGGAGAGTGTGTGTTTTTTTACATTTTTGGAAATTCCCACAATAAACCTTTGACCATGTCACTGAAATTCTTGCTGCATGTTTAGGGTCGTGATCCTACTGGAAGGTGAACCTCCTCTACATTCTCGCCTTTTGCAGGTTATTTCTATCGCACAGTGCTGTAACCATTATAATTTATATGGTTTATCTGCAGAGATATTTTTCCACGACACATTGTCTTAAGTGTTTACTGTTCTTTAATACTCAAAAAACACATCTATGTATACTAAGAATTTACATACAGGTGAATCCTATTAAAGGAATAGTACACCCAAAACATGATTAGCCTTCATTTTCTACTCACCCCCATGCTGAACAACACTCTGGAGTACTTTTTTGATATCTCAAATGCATCTGGAGATCTGGGAGGCTTCTTGCTGTCTGCTGACATTCAAATAATGGAGGTCTATGGTGACCGAGACAGAAAGGTCCATAAAAGTCCACAAAAAACGTGTCAATATTCCTCCATACTGCTCGTCCAATGTATTCCAAGTGTCCTGAGTGGGTAGCATCCAGAATTTACTCGAAACGAAGTCATTTAGAATGTTTTTAGAGCATAAACAGTAGTGTATAGGATTTCCTGAAAGCGCGCACATGCGCGCTCACGACGCTACGGAAGCCGGCAGACCAAACCAGATGAAAGTGCGCATTCAGCGTCTGCTCTGCCAATAATGCAAGCGTAGAAGAAGAAATGTGCTGTTTACCTGTGCAAAGAAAGAAACAATGAAAGAAAAATGTCTGAGGACTTCAGTGTTGAGGAAGAGCATGAGTTCTTTGCCGAGCTGAATGCACTGGTTTGGTCCGCCGGCTTCCGTAGCGTCGTGAGCGCGCATGTGCGCGCTTTCAGGAAATCCTATACACTACTGTTTATGCTCTAAAAACATTCCAAATGACTTCGTTTCGAGTAAATTCTGGATGCTACCCACTCAGGACACTTGGAATACATTGGACGAGCAGTATGGAGGAATATTGACACGTTTTTTGTGGACTTTTATGGACCTTTCTGTCTCGGTCACCATAGACCTCCATTATTTGAATGTCAGCAGACAGCAAGAAGCCTCCCAGATCTCCAGATGCATTTGAGATATCAAAAAAGTACTCCAGAGTGTTGTTCAGCATGGGGGTGAGTAGAAAATGAAGGCTAATCATGTTTTGGGTGTACTATTCCTTTAACAAAATACCACTTTTGAGCAAAACCTAATGTATTTAATTTTTATTTAGAGGCTATAAGAATAAAGAGGGTGGATTTAAAGCTCTAATAAAATAAAGTTATTAGAGTACTTGTAAACTTAGAAAATAAGTTTTTGGTTATGATGTGTTGAGAGATGAAAAAGTCCAAGGGTATAAATACTTTTGCACTGTAGACATATCTTATCCCCACCCATTTACTGAAATCTAAAACCTGGAGATTTGTTAGTGCCCAACAAATAGAAATGCATGAACACTTACGGTATGGTCCAAAGCTATAAAGCCAGCGTTCATACTCTGAGATATCAGGCCTGAGATCCCGAGCTAGAGGAGGACGTTATGAAACCCGTTAGTGTGGAGGAAACTAGTGGGAAAAGCACTTGTTTCCATGGTTGCAATTGGTCTGAAATCATTCATGACCAATCCCATACCAGTGAAAACAATGGCTTTCTTTGCACAATTATCACCTCAGAGTACATCACTATCACATGCATCAGTATCCTGCCCCATTCTCCTTGTGCGCATTTCAAAGAACCCCTCATATGGCACGCAGCCGGCATGTAAACGCAGTGCTCGCATGTGCCTTCTCACACATGGAGCCAATTCAACACATACATGGTCAGCAGATACTGAACTGTACCAGTCACATGAGCCTGCTGCGTTTACAAATGCAACACAGCTGGATATGAGGCGTGGAAATGCGCTGTAGAAAAAATGTGCAAAACACACCAAAACTTGAGCATGCTGGTCAAAAGGAGGTGCATTTACTTACCTGGAATCTCAGGTGTGTCTGTCTCACTCCAGGCATATCCTGAGTCTGGAACAGCATAACTAACATCTGAGTGTACAGCAGAGAACATTGATGCATCAGCAACTGTTGGGGCTACATCCAGAAAGCTTGGTTAACTCTGGAAAGAATGCTGCATTGAAGTCTTTCCTTAACATTTATCTGAGTCTTTGCTACCTGCTGGTCGTCGTGCTCCTGGAAACCAATCGGGACGACCATAAGAAGAGGGCGGCCAGTCCCTTCGTGGGAAAGCTGTGCACGGGACAATTAGAAAGCAGTTTTAAAGCCAATCGTCAAGGAGTAGCATACTGTGATCTCCAGTGAAGTGTTAAATATGGAAGTTAGGTCGCCCTGAAAGCGGCTGCGCCTCGAAACTTCCCTACCGGTTCTTTACCTGGGAGCAAGTCATTTGCAACTCTTAACTCAAACTGGGTAAAACCATATAAAAAAGGACTATAAAACAGGAGTAAAAAAGTAACAGAGTTTATTCCAGATTAGGTCGTTACAGGACAGAGAAATTGCTTAGGGTTGGCACAGCTGTGGGCACAAAAAACGTCAGCGAGCGTCCAGCAAGGATTGAGCCCCAAACAAAGTCATCTCCTCCTTCTTATACCCCATGAGTCCATGTGTTGCATCAGGTGGATGCTTAACTGTCCATATCAGAAACTGACACGCCATCCATGCTCTGACCTTTATGCATCTTGCTTCTTTACCCCAGGATTACAGATAGCTCTCCTTTATCAGTCCGCCTCCAAGATGTGCCCATATCCTGTGTATTTTTAAGGACACAAAGGCTGTCCTCATTAGATGGCCTCCGTACACACAGTGACATCCACCATGTGAAGGAAAGCCTTCTACTCTGTCCAATCTGGCTAACAAAGTAACAAGTGATGTATAAAGAATAAACCTAACAGAAGTAACAAGATGTTCAGCGCACTGAACAAACAGCAGGCATTCAGACACTGAATACCTACTGGTTAAGAAAAGGTAAAGAATATTTAATATGAAATTTCTTCACTGTTTTTATTGAGTTTTGAAATTTCCGTTACTGTCATGTTCTTGGTGCTGATGACTGGCTTAATTACTAACTCTATTCACTTTTTTAACTGTCCGATTTCTCATCACTGTTCTGATCTGTTTGCCTGACCTGGCTTCGGACTCCTGTATGTTCTCCGGGGAGCAGCATCTAGGAAACTCTGGGCAGCCCCGCCGCATCTTGTTGCTAGCTGACCGGCTGGTATCTACCCCGTTCTCTGTTAAAGTTATTTCACTGTCTGTCTTGCCTGAATACTGGGTCCCTCTGTTCTGAGTCGTTACAGTTACACACATGTTCTAACATTTCAGTCAGATTGAACTGTTTTACATATTGCCTTTTTCAGGCATAATATTCCACATCCAGGCTTGATCATATAAATGTCAATATTGGTTAGACTGAAATAGGGATTAATGACATTTTTAAAAGTAGATCACAACTGCATGATCTCTCTGTATGGGTTCTCTGAGTTCTCCCTCCTATAGTCCAAAAACTCTGACTTTCTTAAGCTGCCTTTTTATGTTCTTGTCTTTATTGGTTCCAGTGTTTCATGACAGTGTCATGATTATCACCGTATGCCATGTTTGGAGACAGAGTTTGGAACCACAGCTAAAGTTACTTCATCTGGTTTATAAAAAAGCGACACAAGAAGATCTGGGTCACAGTAAACAATTCTTCTCCTACTTTGATGTGGAAATATTGAAGTACTTCATACTGTTTTTCCTCTATTAATAATAAAATAAAAGAACTCAGGCCAGGTAACGCTTTATTTATTTATTTATCTATTCATTATTTATTTAATTTATATAGTGTAACACTTCTTATACACTAACATTTTTTGAGTGTGCTTTCAAATTTTAATACAAGTTACTTTAATTAGTTTGAGTAATATAAGTCTCCAATTTCTTATTCAGAGCTATAGTAATAGATTATACTCAATGTTAGCTGGTTTATTTTTCTAATTTATTTCTGCTATATTAAAATATTAAGACTATAGAAGAAATGTAAGTATTTCTTAATTATATGTAATTATATGTTATCTTATATGTAAGTTATAAGATAAAATCTAATATGTAATCATCTTATATGTAAGTATCTGAAAAATGAACAGAATATCTGCATTCCTGATATTCTGACTAGTTATGAAAGAATTAATTGCATAAACCTTTAGATTCCTTTTTACCAAAAAAGGCATCAATGCAGCAAGCTATCAGATGGCAGATGCTGCTTATTTTTTAAACTTTTCCACACACAAATACAAGCTTTAATCGGCCAAAAAACTATTTAAAGATGATTAATATCATTGATCACCAAAGGTCAAAAAGAAAAACAGCCATCACTCCACACTCCAGTAAAATCCAGGTCAGGCAGCTTGCACAAACACAGCGTCTGCTTTGAGGTTCCCATACAGCGACGGCTTGTGTTCAGGGCCTTTGTTTACAAAGGCGGCCCGAGAGAGAGCAGCCAGCAGCTCAGTGAAGCGTGGACGTATTATTATAGAGCCGATGTCAAACCAGGGACAGTTTAGATAGCCGGCAGAGATAAAGCTAATCTGCCGCTGGTCAAAGAACTGGTACAGCACCCCAGACAATACGGTTGGTTTTTGTTTTCTATTAAAACTGCTGCTTTGAAGGATTTAGTTCAACTCCCTCAATCAAAACTATTTCACTGATCCCTGAGGTCAAAAGGTGAGGATCATCATCCTGGGTTGGAGCGTATTTTATATCTACGGAATCAGCATTATGTGTTAGCAAGTGTTGTAGTGTTAAGAACTGCAAAAAGACAGACAAAAAAACATCTACAGCACCTAAAAACACATTTACACCTCTTCATTTTTGCATTATAAATCAAGTTACACCCCATTGAAATTATATTAATGTTTATTTTTTTAAGTGTAGCTTATCTTTGCATTCATTCAGCCTGTGTTATTGTAATAACCTCTGCAAGTGTTTTGAGGAATGTGTCCACCATCGTTACACATCTTCAGTCAAAATGTTTAAAAAGCTTCAAAGGTTATTTTTATTTAAATTATACCACAATTTCTTAACTAAATATGGTTCTGGGTTTAACTTGGTCATTGCACCACAAGATTATGCCCTGATCTTTTGTAGCCTGGTGCATTTATTATCTATTATTATGTTTCACAGCATAGACAGAAGGTTGGGACCGATTTATTGGCCCTTTATTGGGGAGTGGCGGCCTAGTGGTTAGAGCATAGAGCTTGGAATCCTGAGGTTCTGAGTTTGAGCGCCACTCCCACCGACTGCCACTCTGGGTCTCTTAGCGAGACCCACACTGCTTCCTGGGTGCCCCAAAATGGCAGCCCACTGCTTCCCAAGGGGATGGGTTAAATGCAAAGGTAAATTTCTCCAATTTTAGATCAATAAAGTTCAATTAATATTATTACTTTTATTTGCAAAGTTTGCTTTGCACAAAAAATGTCCTTTGGTTTTATCTGATTTGACTGCCTTTATCCACATCACAGTTGGACTAAAACCCCCTTTTCAAGTGTTACTAGGTACTCTGTGTTTATCACAAAAAAAATCCCAATGAAGTAGTTTGATGCTTGTAGTTGTAACCTGACAAAATTTGGAAAAGGTCAGCGAGTATGAATTTCTTCCTAGTTGAAGCAGCAGTTATCAAAATATCCTCATGCACCTCTTTAGCTGTCACACTGACATGTTTCATAATAACTAGCAGTTGAATTTAGATCATAAGTTAAAGCAACAACATCTAGCATCTGTTTTAAATTGCTAGGTGCCAAAGTTAAAGAGAAAAAAACATTTTAGCTCATAAATCAGACACTGAAGAGTCAAAGTAAAAAAAAAAGCATCCATCTTGGAAACTCCAGAGGCACTTTGCTAACGTTCACCTCAAAATTCTTGACTTCCACCTAAAGACACAGCCTCCAGGGATCAATATCTTATTTTGTAAAATCGCATTGTTATCCTCTAATCTTAATAGCTGCTTCCTGCACAGGTCAAGAGCTCAGCAGCTGAAGGTTTAGCCAAAAGAATGACTCTGTTCACCCTGCCTTTCATAAATCAGACCCTACAATCAGATGTCATTTAAACAGATATATGCCTGTCTAATTTTAGGGGATTCATGGCTTTGCATTCCGCAGAAGGAAAAACAGAGGCGCATTCCTAAGAGGGCCACACCTTGGCTGGTTTGTGGAGCTTTTTCAGAGATTGGACCCATATGCTGCAATGGTTGCAGACTGTGTGCACAACTGGACCACTTGGCACTGCTTCTTTCATCTCTCTGAACCCTCACTGCCAAAGTACACAAGGCTAGCAACTACCGCCTATGTTTAATAACTTTTATGAGCAATAAGAACAGCTGAATTATGGCCATTAAATTATAAAGCAGTCCCTGTTATCAACTCCATTAGTTACACGTGAATCCCAAATTAAATCTCAGCAGGGAGTTATAGCTACAAATAAAAAGAAGATTTCTATCTAAGGCAAATTTTAACAGAGAATGCTCCAGATATGGTCATGTAGCCTTTGTCTGGGTTGCTTGTTTTCGGGCTGGCTGGCTGCTTGAAACTCTCTGAATTATGGCCATTAAATTATAAAGCAGTCCCTGTTATCAACTCCATTAGTTACACGTGAATCCCAAATTAAATCTCAGCAGGGAGTTATAGCTACAAATAAAAAGAAGATTTCTATCTAAGGCAAATTTTAACAGAGAATGCTCCAGATATGGTCATGTAGGCTTTGTCTGGGTTGCTTGTTTTTTCGGGCTGGCTGGCTGCTTGAAACTCTCTGTTTTGCTCCACTCTGTGAATCAGAGTGGGCAGATGCACCTGTCTCTCTTTTAATCACCCTCATTGCTCCCAGCTATTACTCTGCCAATCAATACCTGCCTCTCTCTAGCCTGATGTAATTGGAAAGGACACCTAAGCTACAAGGGAAGTGCATCAGCGGTTGACATAATCTGTACAATCTGAATAGTGCTGGCAGCTGGGAAGGAGCTACTACCAGAAGCAGTAGGCTTCATGTGGTTAGCATGGCAATGCAGTTAGCTTAGGGACTTCCTGATGTCCCTAACCACCACTAAGGCTGGAGGCTGTCTAGTCCAGACCTCCTTTCCTACCCTGGATAGTTTTCTCAATGTTGATCCCATGAGAGGTGAAGGAATCAGGAGCTAGAATTTGAAGGATCTGGATCAAGCCTCAGTCAGTCTCCGCCAGATCGCCTCCTTGAGGCCTGTTCCAGTGACTGTGAGAACTTCACCTGTATTCCTGTGCTTGCTTTGCTCTAATTGGATTCTCATCGGCCTGATTTTATCACCAACCTGCCTACATCCCCAGTTCGGTCTATCAACTCCACCCCATTCAATAAACCTTTTGATAGCAACACCATGTCTGAATATTAAATACTTCGTTATCTGAAGACTCTTGTTACAAATACAAATGTATAATATTAAATTACCCCATTGCTAATGGATGAAAGAAAATTTAAAAAAGCCTTTCTAATTTAATTAATAGACTAAGGATTAACAAATGAATGCTCATGGGATTAGTTTATTTTTTTCAAGAAGAATTATCTGATCTTAACTTTTAAAATTATGATTCCTCTGTTTATTTCTTAGACCAAAGTTTGAGAATATATCCTGTTAACCGTTCCCCGTCTACAAATACAGTTTTAATTGAAAAAAAAAATAAAAATTCTATCAAACCTTTTAATTTTTTTCCCCAATTAAAAAATTTAAATGTAATTGCTAACTGTCCTGTTCAAGTTTATTTCAATTATTATTTGAATCTAAAGCAGCTGCAGATTATAAAAATATTCCTCTGATCATTTTTGTCGTTAGACCTATTACAAAACTAAGAAATATTTTAATTTAAATCATAAAACTCAGCATGATAGCCAAACAGGGCTGAACAGCAAAGATATTTGCAGATGAAAAGTCATAATCCAAAGGTTGGTTCAGACAACAGACTGCTATAGATGTTATCACATTGTTATCACAGCACTGATGGAGGAGGTTTATCTAATCAAAATGAATCTAAGTGACTGATGGATTAATCTTTTTAGCAGTTCAACTAATTCAGTTTACTTTGTAGCAACAATGACATCTGAGCATCTGCTTTGATTTGGGTACATCATGGTGTTACAGTAATTAAAAATATAAACAGCTTTGTAAAACATTTCACCCTGAACTTTTCTATTCTGATTAACTCTCCTGCTTGCTCTGACCCGTCTGCTTTAGCGTGGTTAAGGACTCCTGAACTGATGCCTCAGAGACTCACCAGAGTTTGACTGGATCGTTGGTGTATTTCGTTCGGGCGGAGCTCTGTTAAAAGCTGTTTGCAGCCATGAGAAAAGTACAGATAGAAGAGAAGAAAGTGCGGAGGAAAGGAAGGAGAGATTCAGTTCAAAAGCAGCCCAGCTGTTTTGCTTTGATGGAAGTTGCAGGCATTATTATTTTTTCTCCACAGAATGCTATCAAAACAAAAGGATGTGCGTGGGCGTGCATACAAGCGCTAGCTCTATTTAACTTTGCTCTTTGGTTCTTGTAAAATGAAAATATGACAATGAAAGATGCTCCCGATGAAAGAAAACAGTAGTTATGTAGAGAGGAGTGTAAGCTGGGACGCTCAGTGGATGTATTAGTGCTGACCCTGGGGGTGAAATATCAGAGTTATGGGTGTGAACATTAGGGTCAGACATACAGCAGTCTGCTGACGTTTACCTGCATTCCTTCTGTCTAGCCCACCACACCTACCTGTTCAAGTTGTGTGTGTAAGCGTGCTAAGCAGGAGGCTGACCTGGTCTGGCTGGAGAGGATGGTTGCCTCCTAATGACTGAGCCCGCCTCTGGTCGATGCACACCTTGAACCGAGATTAGGAGGAATACATTTTCTGAGTCTGTACTGACATTAAACTGAAGCACAAATCCAACTGTAAACATTTCATGAACCTTGCTTCTGGAAGACAGTCCAGGTTGTTTTGGAAATCAGAGGATTGCACCAGTGTCTAAATATCAGCAGTTTCCCAAAGTGTCACCCCCTCTGGTAAAGATGTGTGAAAATCAAAATAAATATTTGAGTTGTTGAATTCTGATTATTTAACTGGTTATTCCCCATTTTTTTAATACTAAGATAAACATACATTTACAAGACCTGATAGGCATGCTCTCTGGTCAGTCTCATTTTTAAGAGAGACTAACATAAGGGAATCTGTCATGCCTTTTTCCACCAATTAAGAAGACAATAAGTCACAAATAACCAAACATACGTAAGTTATTAATAAATACATATAATAGGCCTCAGTAACATATATATCTTTTATTTCTACCTATTGAATAAATGTATTAATCTCCTTAATGCCTGAATATGCTTTAAAAATGTCTTTAGTGTAAAACAGTCTCTCTATTAAATGGAGACTATTATTCTTAATGCAGCATTTGAAACAAGTATATATTTACATATGATGGATATTATTTGAAGTATTTGAGCAGGACATTAATTAAGGAAACACTCTTGTTTCAGGTATGTACACTGCAAAAAATGTAAATCTAAATAAGTCATTTTTTTCTTAAAATAAGTTCATTTTATCCTGAATTGAGGAAATAAATAAGACACTTTGCCAATGGAACAAGACAATGTAATTTGAAATAAGAAAAATCAATTGCATTGTCTTATTTCAAGTGCATATTATTTAATTGACTAATTTTATGTGTAAAAATACTCAATCCATTGGCAAACTATCTTATTTACCTGCTCAAATTGAGGGTAAATACACTTGATTTAAGACATTTTTACTTAATTTCAGATAGTTTTTGCGGTGTAGATTATGTTGATAAAGCTTTTTTGCACTGCAAAAAAAAAAAATAGAAATAAGTAAAAATAAGGCATAAATAAGTATATTTACCTTTAATTTGGGTAGCTAATAAGATGATTTGTCAATGAGATTTTTTACTCTTTAAATAAGATAATTAGATAGTATGCACTTTAAATTAGAAGAAGTGTTTTTTCTTATTTTAAATGCAAGTTGTCCTATTCCATTGGCAAAGTGTTTCACCTACCTCTTCAATTCAAGAAAAAATACACTTATTTTAAGATAAATTACTTATTTAGATTTCAGTTTTTTGCACTGAAGGCTTTGAGATTCAGTTACAAGATATTTTTTTGTACCTATCCATTTTAATCATGTTAATTTAAATGCAACTTATTGTGCTGAAAATCAACCGGATGCCGTTTACACTCTGGGGACTAGAGGACTGTAAAGTCCTTCAAAAAATAAGCATAACTGATGCAGGGATTATGTGCACAGTGGTCCCACAATTAAAAAAACTGCTGGGTTGATTTGTCTTTGTTACCGTGTGATAACCCTTGTCCAAGATAAATAGCCGCTGAAGACTTTTACAAAAACATGACGCCGGATAAGCAAATATAGACAAAAACAGATGCAAAGATGGTCTATAAAGAGTTAGAAATTAGATTCTTAAGTCTACGGTTGTAGTAAAGATACAGAGGAGTAAATTTATTTGAAGTCATTTCATGCATCTTTACCAGGGGGTTGAAAATATATTCAAAAAAGTTGAGTGACCCAGAGAACTTTAGATTCCATCAAAAACATATTATCTTTGTTTGAACATATGCAGGTAAAGCAACTTTGTCGATGCAGAAATACATGCAAAGTACATAATATGTGCAGAAGTGGAAAAAAAAGGTAAAGTCTGAGTGCCAGTGTAAAAGAAAAAGAATCAGAGAAAACCAAAAGTTAGCAGGTTGTATCTGGAATTTCCCAAGTTTTCAGGTTGACTTACCTGAAATGCCACGATGTGGATATCTGTTTGGGTAGGAGCTACCTCTGAACGCTGCAGAGATGGTTTAGTCAGACTGGAATTGCTTTGTGTGTAACTTTAGCTGGATCTTTTTAAAACGTATTTACCTACCTTGGCTGGGACTTTTCCCTTGGATGCTCTGTGACTGTCCTATACCAATCATATAGTTCATGCAAAGAAATACTTTGATTAAAATTAACATTACAATCTTATAGCCATTTAGTTTTAGCATTTCAAAGTGACAGGTTCACTACTTCCTAAGCAGTGTATGGCTAAAAATGCAAAATGTCACTATCCTGGTGAAGATTCTCGGTCATCCAGGCCATAGTCATTCGAAAGAGTTAAAAAAAACATAAAACAATCCACTTGACTTTTTTTCCCCAAGTTTGAAGACATTTTACTTCCCATCCAGGAAGGTTTTTCAATTAAAAACATCAGAAATAGCGTTTAGTTTGAGGCTTTATAGACTGGACCAAAAAGCCTTGAACTCAAGGCTATTTCTGACATTTTGAATTGAAAAAGGTGCCTGGATGGGAAGTAAAACGTCTTCATATTTGGAAACAAATTCCAATGGATTGTTTTATACCTTTTTTGAAAAAAATGTCACTACATTGAAACAAAACGTGTGATAATTCCAGAGGGAGACCATTGTTATGCATTAAAAATCCCCCCACGCATATTTTTTGAGATTTTACATGATAAACCACTAAATAACATAAACTTGTAAAATGGAAGGAAACATTTATATACATATACTAAAGTTGTGGCCTGCATAGTATTTATTTTACCTCTGATTTTTCAGTGTGTGTCTAATTGGTCAACAGAGATTTAGCTCAGAGGTCTGAGATAAAATTGTTGACAATGTTAAAGCAGAAGTGGCACAACTGCAAACTAAATAGGACATGGCCATCCATCAAAACTGATAGACAGAGTAGAAAGTGTATTAGTCAGAGAAAGGGACAAGAGACCCATGATAAGCCTGGGGAGCTGCAGTGGTTCAAAGCTAAGATTGGGAAATATTTTGATACAATAACCATAACAGGGACAGGAGGAATGTTATTAAGAGTCAAAGGTGTTAACGGAATAGTACACCCAAAACATGATTAGCCTTCATTTACTACTCACCCCCATGCTGAACAACACTCTGAAGTACTTTTTTGATATCTCAAATGCATCTGGAGATCTGGGAGGCTTCTTGCTGTCTGCTGACATTCAAATAATGGAGG